AGCAGAAGTTCCCCGTGAATGAGGAAACATCCAAGTAATAGGGAGAGTGCTTTAGGTAGGATTTAAGATAAAGAAGACAACCACCCCCACGCCTAGTCGTGCGGTCTTGGCGGTAAAAATCGAAGTCATCTATGAGAAGGGCTGAGTCAGGAATTAGAGAATGTGTCCAAGATCCTGTTACACATATAATATCAGGCGTCATTTCCAGAGCAATGGCTCTGATTTGGGCCATCTTGTTTATAACAGACCTGGCATTCAATAATATAATATCTAATGTGTTTCGAACGGCAATGCTATTTTCGACGGTATTTAAAAAAAATTTGGAGGCGGATATGTAAGCTGCGAATTAATGACACTTGGAGAATAAGTACCAGTTAATTTAGAGTTATTGACGTACTGGGAGTCAGCAAGAGAAGGCTGAATATGAGACCTAAAGGAGGTGGGGATATAGTTTTCAAACATTGGAATGCTAGGGGAGTTAGAACATGGATAGTCTTGTTGGTAGTTAAATAATGGAGGAAGGGTAGGAGGAGGAGGAGGAGGGAGGCTAGAAGGAAAGTAGGGGCTAATGGGTGAGGGTAGGCCACTAAAAGAATGAAAGGGTGGGAAACCAGGTCTAGATTGGAAGTCAAAGGAGATAGGTTGACGTACCTGAGAGCAATTGGTCTTAATTGGTGGGAAGCCTGAACTAGGTTGGGGCATAAATGATTTAGGGCAATTCATGTATGAATTATTTGCTGGATATATAGTAGGGCTTTGATAAGTAACCGGTACGCAGGACAGAGAATTATTCGAGGATATAATTGGAGCTGCGAGGTTTGTAGACGTGCTGGGCTGAACAGACTTGTTAGATCTAAGAGAAGGCGTCGTACCCCTAAACGGAACTGTACTACCTATCTTTTGGGTCGGAGTCTGATTTAGTTTTCGAGTCTCACCGTTCTGACGCCAAGCCACGGGTGACTTAGCTGTAGACCATACAGCACCCAGTTGGACAACAGAAGTTATCGGTCTAGCTGATGTAGACGGATTTTCATGTGTCTTTGCGGGACTATCCGGAGGATACGAAACGACAAATGGGGCTGCTGCTGCTGCTGCAAGTTTAGGGGCAGGCAAATGCGTCAAGTGGCTTGAGTGAGATGGAGAGGTAGGAGAAAGAGGAAGGAGGGAGTCAGATGTCGCAGGAGTAGGAGAAGCTGAATCCTTACGGCCACTTGTATTATGACCGAGTTGGGGAGCATTAGACTGAGAAGCAGTAGGTTTACGTGAGAATAGAGACCCCATTCTACGCTCCATAGGAGTAAGATCATGACAAAGGAAATATTTTGCCTTCTCTAGGTACGCAGTGACACGCTCTCGGTGAGTAAAGATTGTGTCAACTTCGATTGATGAAAACAATTTGACTAAGATGGGTGGATTTGTACTACGGGAGGACAAGCGTTTGGCATCAGCTATTTTATAGTTGAAACCACATGAATACAGGAAACTGGTCGCAACATCAATTGGTCGAGCAGATCGAGGAACATTTTTTAGCAGGAAGTTGTAAGAACGCTTCTGTCTATCACTAGATTCACTGGCGATCAGGTGAACAAGTGAGTCGAGACGCCTACATTCTTCAGAGGGAATATCGAAGATGTTCCCGTCGAATAAATGTCCAAGAATTGTCAGCAAAGAGCCAAACTTTAGCATAAAGTCATTGCAGTGGTCAGGTGCAGACAAATCAAGCTGCCGACCAATTACAACGGGTGACGACTGACTAGTAATATCATCTGACTTAGATTTAGGTAAAGCTTCTGACTTACGTTTAGTTAGGCCATGGTTACTTACAAGAGCCGAGAGCTTACGTCGACCAGTGACTTTTGGTCTCATCTTGTCTCGAGGCAATTTGTGATTAGGTAAACTTCTGGCAGAGAAGCTGACTGAAATTCAGCTAGGGGCTAACGATGTAACAATAAATTACAACAGTTAGAGAGAAATCGGATGCACAAAATGAGAATTGCAAAGTGCGATTAGTGAACAACGGGCATAGACTAGCAGAACTCGAAAGGAGATGGCAGCGGGCAGTTCTTAGAGAAAAGGCCTGTATTTAAGGAAATCCAAACAAAAAAAACAGGTACTAAAATCGTTAGGGCTCACAGAAAAACCACTAAAAATAATATCCTCCACTAATCTTCAAATTTAAAACCAGCGGCTTGACATTGACGATATGAGATATCATATCTCAGTCGGCACTCGTACCACAGTGTGGGATCCGAGCCAGGCGTTGGCGGCGCGCCTGGGTGCCGGTGT